GCAGCTATACACGGCCCCTCTATGTCACAGGCTCCTTCAGATTCCAGTTTGATGTCTCAGTATGTGTCTAGTTCTCTGATGCTTGATAATGGAGGGCAAATGCATAATGGAGGGCATCAGTATGGACTTATGCATGCTGAGGGTAGCGGAGACGGTGTAGATGTGAGAAAAAACAGTGCAAATATGACAGTTCAGTTGGATAATGGAAACAGTATCTCAACAATTGACAGCCTCCCTGAAGGAAGTTACCACACTCCGTATGCTCAGAGTGAAAACTCTTGTCTTACTCAAGGCTCATCAGTTGATATTCCCATGAAATGTCTCAGTCCAGAGGCTCAAGTTGCATTAAAAGCTACAAATGAAATCATTAAAACGGAGAATATGTCAACTCCTGGCTATGACCAGATGGACAACTCTGGGGATGGCATGCTCAGTCCACATAGTGTCATCCACACAGATTTCCCTTACGATGAGGACTGCCATAATGCTGAATGTGAAGTCAACCCTGTAGAGGAAAAGGGTGGCGACCAGGACACGCAGAAAGGAAAACGCAGCAGGTTGAGCAAGCGGACCAAATGGCCAGCTATCATTAAGGATGGCAAAGTCATTTGCAGGAGATGCTTCAGAGAGTTCACTAGCACCAAATCTCTCGGAGGTCACCTATCTAAACGCTCGCAGTGCAGACCTTTAGATGAGATCGACCTGACGGCTGATCTGCCAACATCCTTTCTTGATTTCCTCAACGATCCTCATGTCCCTGACACTAATGGAGCAATATATAACATGTCAAATGGGGATTTCTCACAGGAATCTTGTAGCTTGACCACTTTAACGTCACCTATGGCGTTGAAACAAGAGCCCCAAAATACAAATATAATGGACTATTCTAGCTCCTTCACAGTTTCCCCTGAAAACCAGCAAGAGAAGGCAGTAGAGTTGGCTAATCCAGGCCTCGCTGTACCTTATCAAGAGGATCACCTGATGGAAATTTCACATGCCTTTCAAAGGTTGGATTTGATTGAGGCTGCTCAAGAGAAGATGCGGAGTGCACTGTCCTTAGAGCAAAATGTCAGTCGTTGTGATACAGCCCCTGACATAGAAAAGAGTAAAATCCCAAGTAAAAGTGATGATAAACCCTCTGAAAAGGTACCTAAACCTTTTAAATGTGATCAGGATGATTGTGAGTATTCATTCATGACAAAGGAGGCATTATTCAAACACTTGATTAAAATGCACGATTTCTCGATAGAAATGATAGAGGAGTTAAAAAGAACACCATCCAAACTGTCTCCATATCCTTGTCAGATTTGCCCTAAAACATTCACCAGAACGACGGGGTTGAGAATTCACTATGAAAAAGTCCATCGACTGTCAAAGGCAGAAATGCAGAAGCTAAGGATCAGTGCTCGAAACAGGCGTGCGTTTAGACTTAACAAAGATAATGTGGTTATTAGCAATGCCACCACGGATGCCAATATCAATCGCACAACACGACCTGCAGCTATAATACCTGCTATAAAACAAGAACCACTTGATATTGCAATTGCACCTCAAACGGACAATGAAAACAATCCGGAGGTTGATCAAATTACTTCACCAGGAGATGCAGTAAAAGAGGGCTTCACACCCGACGTATCAACTGTTACAAGACTACCTTCACCTCAGAACTATTTGAATGACGGGTCGTTAGTTGAGGTGGCACCAGTTCCTGAAGGAACCCCAGAGCAACCTAATGTGGCTGTTGTAAACCAGAGTCCTGATGAGAAACAGACATCTAATTTACAAGAGAAACTCAGTCCTGTTAGCAAAGCAAAGGAGCAGCGAGGAAAATCAGATGCAGCATTGAGCAAAGTAAAAGAGCCAAAGTCCAGCTCTCCTACTACATCTGCTTCATCCTCCCCAGAGAAACCCAGCAGCTCCAAAAACACACCAACAAAGGATGAATCTCAGAGGAAAGAGAAAATCCAGAAAAGGCTGAGCCTCAAAATGTGTGATACAGACAACGCCTACAGTCCATATAGACCATATCGCTGTGTTCACGAAGGATGCACTGCTGCATTCACCATCCAGCAAAATTTGATTCTCCATTACAGGGCCATGCATCAGGCATCCCTGCCTACCAACAAAACTGAAACTGATCCTGAAAAGACTAGTGTCAAAAATGGACAGGAGAGCAGTCCCAGCATAGGAAAAGATAATGAAGTCAGGTGTCAAGTGAAAAACTGTTCAAGGGTGTTCATGGGAATCACAAGATTAGTGCAGCATTACCTCTTACTTCACAAGTTCACTCGCGACAAAGCTACCGCCATGATGGCCAGCATGACCATTGGGACTTTCAGCTGTGACCGGCCAGAGTGCGCACTCCCTTTCAACTCTGTGGAAAAGTACATTGAGCACATTAAGAATTATCACAAAGAAATTGCCATCTCTGAGAGTGGCTCAGTTGACCCAACTTTCAGGTGCGAGTATGAGGGATGTGACCGCGTTTACACTACAAAATCAAACCTCCTCCGTCACCTGATCAAAAAGCACGAGTATGTTTATGATCCCAAAACAAGTGACGGAAGAAGGACTAAATCAGTAGGGCTTTTCCCAGGGGTTAATGGGAAAGAGAATGTAGAAAACAAATTCAAAATGAAGAAGAAAAACACTAAAAAGAAAGAAGGGAAGTCCATTGAACATTGGACAAGTTTTGGAAAACCAACACTAAAATCCCACGAGGAGGCATCAGCTATGTGCACCAAGAAGTCAGCCCTGCAGTACCCATGCATGATCATAGGTTGTGATGCAGTGGAGAGGGCTGAAAGAAATATATTTAAGCATTACACCACTCATGGCCTCTCAGAAAGATACATTGAAGACCAGAGGAGTCAGTTCATTTTCTGCAAAAAGTACTCGCGTGCCAGATTCAAAGATGCAAACAAATCAGAGGGCGCGTCAAGCTCATCTTCTGAGGAGACAGAGCCAGAAGAGGGTGAAAAGCTTACTGACCAGAAAACAGAGGAGGTGGTGGATAGAATAGGCCAAGAAGATGGCAAGCTGTCCAACGACGATAGTGCAGAATCTCAAGCTTCCACCGGGACAGAAGGGGGATCTAAAAGAGGCCGACCCAGGAAACCTGCACATCCTACACCAGCTTGTCCAGAGAGGATGCAGACACTTAGGAACCGTTCGACTGTTAACAGTTCAAGAGAGAACTCAAATCCTGGTACCCCTACAGCCCAAGAACAACGTGATGACGTGGTCATGTCAGGGTCTTTCAAGCCTTTAGGACTTGAGGACTCCTTCCTTAAGTTCTTGGAAACCTCAGAGACAACCCACTCTTCCAAACGGAAATTAAATGACAAATCTAGTGCTGAACTACCATCCAAAAGACAACAAACTCAAAAACAGAAATCTGCAATGAAAAGTAAAATAACTGATGAATTTAGAGGCTGTGAAAACCTTGTAGACTTCAGAAATCCCTTAAATCTCAAATCAGTGAGCAATGTCAAGATTGTCATGGATAAAACCTTTTCAGACGGTGCTGATCTTTTGCTAAAGCAGCTACAAGACATGAGGCCCATAGTCATAATAAAAAAGTGGCTTTATAGCGGATCATAGCCCAGTATTTTGTTTTCAACTCAATCTCACTCAGGATTTGAGAAGTTATGCTGCAGAATGGTTTGTTAACGCATCAGATTTCCAACTGTTAACAGTAATGGTCACAGTTAATGATGAAATGGCCTATTTTGTACTTAATGAAAAAATGTCTCGGATGATTTTAAGTATGTATGTTAGTTATAATAACCAGGTAATCTATAGGGCATAGATTTTAGAAACATGTTTGTATTTATGCTTAGTACTGAAGATGTTTTTTTTCTTTTGCTAAATGGAGACTTTTAAAGAAAAACTATGTTTTTATATATCCCTATGGGATTTCAAGTTCTGTTTGTATTTATTTTATCCTTTTTCAACACTAGTAGACCTATCTGTAATATTTACATGTCTTCCACAAAGTGTTCAATAAAATGTTACTGGTTCTTTTTGTAAAATATTGTGGGCAGGTCTTTTTTGTGTTGCGGGCATTTTTTCAATTTTTTTCTTATACTTGTTTACAGGGTTTATCAAACAGTAGAATTACAGTTGTTCATCAGGATACCTAGATCTATGCACAGCCATAATCCTGCTATAACATGATTGTTTAATATGGACAGATACTGTTAATTTTTGTATGGAATATAGACGTACAGTATAGCAGAACTACCTTGGCATATCCCTACTTGAGCATTGCTGAATTTCCGATGATGCATTAGAGAAAATTTATTTAAATTAATCTTCCTGTCTGCTGAGTTTCTTTACAGACAAAGAACACATTTGCCAGACTTAATTTAACAAAAAAAAATTCATTGTGCAGCAGTCTAGCTTATGTCTTAGTTCACTATTAGTGTTTACTCAGGAAATACCAGGAGTCTATACAATGAAGTAGTACAATAAATATTAAGAGGGTTAAATGAAATGTTGACAGGTCTGTGTTTTCTTTATGAGACCTTTATTATAATATACAATACATTAAAATGAAATGTTGACTGATACAGCTAAATATTAAATATGTGCCAACAAAATAACCACATATGTACAAATCACACTTTGCATAATGAAATAAAGGTGTTAAGATAATATTATTACATCATCTTTGCATGTTTGCCATTTATGAATATGAATATAAAACTGCAGGGAGGACACAACGGAGAAACCATGCGGGCGAGGGTGTTCAAGATCAGCAGAAAATCCACCGCAACTAAAACCCAATATAAAATAAATCTATCTGAGGGTACAAATTTGATGGACGGATTTGGCATTCTGTTAATATGTCTGTTACGGTCCATGTATTTTATCTATCGTGTCCGATACCTTAAAACTTAAATAGCCTATGAACGCACCGGAACAACTCAGTATTAGCTGAACACAACCCCTTCCGGAAACGTCATTTTGGCGGGAAGCAGCAGCTACTTTGTCTGGCTGACAACAAGCGTCATTTTAAATACATATGTTACTGAAATCAATGCTCCGGCGCTAAACACTGACATAAAGCTGACCAACCCATTTCGTGAAGCTAATGCTAAGATGTCAACTTCATCTGTGTCAAAGGTAATGTAGTATTCTGACGTTGTGGTGCAAGTAACGTTATCCGTCATAAACATGGCCATGTCAAAGTTTAGTTTCTTCGTTTATCATTGTAGTTAACTGACACGGTTTGTAACTTATATTCATTGATATTCTAGGGCTGTTTCGTTTTCAAGCCAAGTGCTAAGAAGAAAAAGACGCTCAGTTTGGGTGAGTTATGTTGCTGTTCATGAGGAAGCGTCTTTACTTTATTTAAAGTGGTGAGCTGTCAGCTAATATGCCCTATAATAAATATAAACACACTGTCATTTCTCCACAGAGGAATGTTTCACTGACGGTTGTGAAGGTGCTGACAACAGTGAAGTACGATTCAAACTCTGTCAGGATCTGTGGGACAAAATCAAAACAGACACAGAGGTAACATGTTAAATATATCAATTATGCCACACAACAACATTGTAATAGATATTTAAATGAAAAGTTAATTTTAAAAAAAGAAAACAAAACATGAAAACAGTTGTCTGTTATGATGGGGCCACAATTTGATACTTTCTAATAAATTAAAAGTATTTTTATTTTACATATTGTACATTTAATTTTTGAGACTTCATAATGAAACAGTCAGCTTTGCAGGACCCGTTATAATAGTTTAAAACGGCATAAATGATATAATGTCAAAGTAGCATTGTGTAATTTTTCAAAAACAACCAGATCTTGTTGAGACATTTTGAAGCCTGTTGAATTCACTAAGTGTAATAATAAAGTAATAGCTCTATATTCAGTGCAACAATACAATAAAACAGACAGTGTTTAGGATGACCTTAAAATCTTCAACTATGTCTCAAACAATGTATGTTCTGCAAAGGTGGTCATTTTAATGTGATGGAACAATCTATTTAACTTTTTTTTATTTTGCTTGTAAGGTTTTACAGGATGAACTCAACAGGAAAATCCTGGACAGCTTGCTGGACTTCACCAGAAAGTGCTCTTCCACTCGTCAACACAGCGACTGGGCATCACAGATGAGAGCTAGTGAGATTCCCACGGCAGCTCTAGTCCTCGGTATGCTGGGGATCATGCATTGGCTGACTGGTTATCCCAACAACAGCCAATTTAGAAAATAATGGAAACAAAACATTTCAACTGCCTTTCTTTTCGTACGATGTCCTCCACAGGTGTGAATGTCCCGGATCATGACATGACCTTCCAGAGTCTGTCTGAGTTGCTCCAGCAGTCAGTCACTCCTCATGTTGCCTCTGTACAGGCTAAAGAGTGTGGAGGTAAGGGACTGAGGACTGCATTGCCTTGGGTTTAAGACTCCCATAATGTGTATTCCGATAACAGTTCGAGCTTTCAAGTGTATATTTCTGCTTTATCATTTCAGCGTTGAAGCATTTGATGAAGAGGGTGCTGGAGAGGTTAATGGGTACTGTTGTGGCTGTGGATGATGAGGAGGAGGCAGAGGAGGCAGCTGAGCAGACCAGTGCTCAGCTCCACAAGAGCGTACACTGCTCCCTCAGTACACTGTGTGACTGGTACAATACAAAAACAAGGGTGAGACCGTAAGGTGTAGCTGGCATACATGCTTTTACATTTGCAGCTTGGTCAATAAAAAAAGCTTGATCTCCTGAAAGCAATAAAAAAAAACAATGTTTTCACAGAAATCCAGCACTGGCACTCCCGGGAAAAAGCGTAGTTCTCCAGCCAAAGATGAACAGCAGCAGCCTCCTGTTGTAGTTATTTTCAAAGACTTGGAGGCTTTCAATCCAAGAGTTCTTCAAGACTTCATACTCATCTGCAGGTAACTAAGAACTCTCGAATTTAATGGTCTCCGTGTTATTTTATTATTGCAGCCTGCACACTTTTTCAGAATTACAATGAAATTATCATAGTTTTTTAAAGGTCTGAAAACAATTAACTTTGTAGCCACCTTCCTACCCACCTAAACTAGAGTATACCAGGTCACCTTCTGAAGAAATATTGATCCATCACTGTGTTAAAAGATATCTGGTCTAAATAGACAAATAACTGATGAACCTAACAGTTGTGATTCAGGAGTAGAAACAGCATCTCTATTAACTTAACTCTCTTCCACAGTCGATACATTGAACGTCTTCCGCTGATGTTCATCTTTGGTATCGCCACGTCCCCCAGCACCATCCAGCGCATGCTGCCTCACTCCGTGTCCTCCTTGCTGTGTATAGAGCTCTTCCAGTCACTGTCCTGCACCCAGCACCTGGCCACAGTCGTAGACAAGGTATTTTCACGCCGACACACAGGACAGTGCAAAAGAAATGCATCAGTAGATCGTAGAGGAGATGTATTGCAGGGTGGCATTGTGTTGTTGTGAAGGCTGTGGCACACGAGAGATTTTCTTGTTCACCTCGTTGCCGATCTTCTATACAGTTTTGAAGTGTTAAAATCCAGTATATTTGAGGTACTCATGCAGGTACTCTGTTGTAATATACTGGGTATTGCACAACTTTTAATCATGAAGACGCTGTAACAAGTAAAACTTTTACAATACAGACCGCAGATATAGTTTTTCTTCCATCTGCCTCATGAAAACCGACTCCTCCTTTGTGAAGATATTTTGCTTTTTTACATCATGATGCACAAAATGTACATTATTGAGTTTTTATAAGATTTAAAATGGTGTTAGGCAGTCAAATACAAAACTCTGCAGCATGTATAAAATTGGATTCTGGTTTGTATCATTGATCACAGAAGCTTATCTTTGCAGTATTTCCTCTGTAAATAAACCGGAAATTAATAAATAAATAAATAAATACTAAGATGACCATATAATGTAATCCGTAACAGCCTTGTAATACATACTGGTCCCTTTGTTAAAGGACCAGTGTTTAGGATTCAGTGACATCTAGTGGTGAGTTTGCAGATTGCAACCAGCTGAATACCCCTCCCCTCAACCCTCCTTTTCAAAGTATGTAGGAGAACATACAGTGGCCTTCAGATGATGAAAAAATACAAAAGGCCCTCTCTAGAGAGAGTGTTTCGTTGGTCTGTTCTGGGCTACTGTGGAAACATGACGATGCAGCATTGGTGGGCTCTGTGGAAGAGGACCTGCTCCCTATGTAGATATGAAGGGCTGATTTTAAGATAATGAAAAGACGATGATTCTTAGTTTCAGGTGATTATATACTAATTATGAATATTAGATTCCATTTCTACCAATAGATCCAACCTAAATCCTACACACTGGTCCTTGTATGTGTCATGAAGGTCAACACTGTGATCATTTTTTAGACTGTATATATTTTTGAATTTAATTGTGTTTATTGTAAATAATTTTATTGTGTCCCCTTCCCCAGGACTGTTAGTTATTAATTCATTTTTCAATTAAGAAATTTAAATTTGTGACTTGACTATTTGATTTGATTTTAAATGAAAGGAACTTAATTGAGTTCTTCTGTCTTATTTTTTTTCGGTCTATTTCCAGTTGATCCTGACACCTCGGTTCCCTTTTAAGCTCAATGGTAAAGTGATGCAGGTGCTGATCAGCATCTTCCTCTACCACGATTTCTCAGTGAGAAACTTCATCAAGGGCGTTCAGGTACAGAGAAGCCTCTAATGCTTAATGTCCCATCAGTCTGCCCTCTGGTTGTCATCTTGTCTCAGGAGCTAATTCAGATGTGCATACGTGTGAGTCTAAATACCTTTTTCTGACCTTGTGCAGCTGGCTCTGCTGGAGCACTTCCACTCCCAGCCTCTTAGTGTTTTGTGCTGTAACAAGAAGGAAGCTCTGCTTAACGTGATGAAGCTCAATCACCACGATTTGGAGAGGATCAGGCAGCTGATGTCTTTCAAGAAGTATACACACACTATTTGTTTTTGCCCTATGTGCAATTTAGCAATGTGTTTCAGGGTTTGGTTTTACCTTTTTCAAATGTAAAACCAAGCTTTTAAATCTTAAGTGTCCTTTTTTTCGCAGGTATGTAGAGAAGCAGGAACAGCAGGAACAGGTCAATCTGTTGAAGGATGACAGTCATTTAAAGGTGCATTCTTTATTTAATCTTTACACCTGAGGCACTGGCCATTGACGAACGCACATATCCGAACACCTAAGTCTAACACCTAAGGTTACTGTCTCTGTTTTTAGGAGGTGTGCCAGAGGCTGATAAAGGACCTTCGCAAGTACCACAAGAACTATTACCCCATCCTGAGGTGTCTCCACACTCTGACCTCTTCATTACCTCGGTACCCCCTCGGAAAACAGGCAAGAACTCACTGCTCTGTGACTATACAATACAACATTTTGAACCAGATCTTGGCTCTTTTGACTGTAACCACACTTTCTTATATTGCTGGAGTACTGGTGTTTCATTTGCCTTGATGTGACACTGAAGTTATCTCTGTGCCACAGATCAGGGAGCTTCATCTAATATGCCTTGAGAAGAACGTGTGGGAAAATGAGGATTACCAGTCAGCCATGAAGCTTCTGAAGTAAGCCTTGATAATGAATCTGTATGTTAACAAGTGGGATCAACAATTAGACGTCAGTCTTGGAAAATCTAAATGTTAGATCTCTGCATGCTGTTTTTAAGATACTCCTCAGCCCAATCCCAATGTCCACACTCACGGACTCGTGGACTTTGAGGCACATTCCTGCTAAATCCGTGAGGGCTTAGGGCTGACCCACTGTCAAATCGTCAAATGTATGAGGGCTCTCTCGCAGACGTTTTGAGCCCTTTATACACACTTTCCATAAGTCCGCATTTCTGCACACTTTGCCTGAAGGATTGCCCGCACTTCATAGCTTTGTGATGTTAAACATGGGGTTAAGGGAGAGGCCCTGAAGCATTTAAAAAAAGAAAAAAATTAAAAAAGTTAACAAACAAGCATGGAAGGGGCAACCAAAGTACACATGGAAGTATTAACACACAGCTCACTGTTGATTCATAGCCAGAACTACGTGTAGTTGTTCTATGAAAGATGTTTAAATCAGGCAGTCTGTCCCTCAAAGAACAGTTAAATAAAAAGTCACAAACCGACAGTACTAAACATGTTTTAACATTGTCAAGCTAATGTAATATGTTGCAAAGTGCTTCCCCATTCCCCAAGCCCTTACAGCCTCTTGCACTCAATCACTTACCTGGTGATGTCAGTTAAGTCTGTGAGGGTTCAGGGCTGAGCTCCTTAGAGGGGACATCAGGATTGGGCTCTTAAGTCCTCTACATTTGATGTTTTGCGGTCATTTCCCCTCCTGTTGGCCAAATAGCCACATACAGTAAAATAGTATTGTACCTTTTGTTGTTTGACACTTTTTTTCTTTTCTTTTTTTTGTACCATGCAGGAGCTCCGCTAAACAAACTAGATATTAGTCCAACAACAACAACCCAGTCTGAGGTGCCGCTGTACTGTTCAGTTGTAAACTTCCTGTGGTTTTCCTTCCAGGATGCTGGCGAAAGACGAGCTGATCACTTTGCTCCAGAGGTGTGCAGAGATTCTGCAGCCTGTCAAGACAAAGAAGATGAATAAGGCTCTTGTCCAGCTGGAGGAGCTGCTCGCCAAATTTCAGCAGTTGGACAGTAAGTGGTAAAACTGGGGTCGAAGATTTAAAGATGGTTTATGGATTCTTCCTTTTTCATCATTTAATGTTCACCTAGGGATAGTCTCTTGGGTAATTATTGACATTAGTGAAATAGGCAATGAAATGTAATGCATACCCATCCCTTCTTGCAAATTCTTGTCTTTTTTCTTGTTCTTAACAGCAGCACCTGTTGAAACTGCCCCCATTGTGGAAGAGAGTTTCACTTCTCCAGTAAAAAATCTTCAGAAGAAAACAGATCTCTTCCAGCTACAGAAGGTAACTCACCAGTTTTTATGGGAACATGTTAACTTTAGTTCTCTGGAAAGATTCCCCACTTCCCTGACGTTTTGTAATACTTGGATACATAAATCGCATATTGTCATACATTCCAGACGCTGCTGGAGATGAACGAGTCTCGGAGATCCAAGAAGCTGAGTCCGTTTGAGGTTCTACGAAATGAAGCCCTCGAGTTCATCGACGACTTAGTGAAGTAAAACGGATTACCTTCTTGCTCCAATGAAAGTGTGATGAATTTAATCCCATGAAATATGTTACAAATTCTTATACAGCTAACGTCTCTCTTACACCCAGGAGTCACCTGTCTCCTCCAGAGTCTCAGACACTGAATGAAGTCTGCTACTACAGCTCGTCTGCCACTGTGAGACGCCACCTCAACGCAACTCCCCGTACCTCCATTCAAGCTGCTCTCAGCAGCCCCTACTATTACATTCAGGTACGTCTGTCTCACCTTATCAAGTGTGTAACTATCTTGGCAAGAGGAGGGACTGGAGGTTAATCATGCTCAACTACAACCGGCAACAGATAATGATGTGTTTTGTACGTTTTAACGACGCTGTAATCAAGATTTTTTCTTTTTTTAGGAAAGTGTGAGACTTGCATCGACAAATCTAAAAATGTGTGAAGATATTTTCATTCTTTGACTTTCCTCTCAGAATGACAACCTCAAGACTGAGGATGGGTCGGTCTCTAATACTGCTCCTGATATCTGCATTGCTTACAAACTTCATCTGGAGTGCGGCAGGTTGATCAACCTCTATGACTGGCTAGAGGTGAGTTAACATACGGAATCATTTGCTTGTAGCCTAACTACATGTAACCTAATCAGGCCAACAAACTTCTGCAAGAAAAAACATGGTAGATGTGTTTTGTACCACTCTTTTTCAAAATACAAAAGCATAACCTTTAAACTTTGCCTTTGTTTTTCCCGTCAAAGAGGCTTTATTGATCCTAGCGATCAATGTGTGTTATTGATCTGTAGATCAAATATTGGCCCAGCATGGACAGGACACTCGCATGAACGTTAATGTATTTGTTTGTTTTCAGGCTTACGCCACCGTGGTTTCTGCAGCTGAGGGTAAGGATCCAGATTCTGACAATTTCGGCAAAGTGGATGAAGTCAAGCAGTATCCTTCCACAACTTTATCTAGGCACTTTTCTTTCCCATCATGCATCCTCCATTTGAATACTCGCTTAATGTTTACTTCTGTGAGTGATTTCCTTGGGTATCTTGTTGTGTAGGTGGAGGCTGCTGCAGGATTTGGAAGCAACTACAAAATTTAGACAGTGATTATGATGGAAATATGAGAGCAGACAAGTATTAATGTAATTGTCAAGGTGCCGTATTTACTCGAGACGTATAACACAAGTTAGTTCCAATGTTGATACGTTACTTGACACATGAGGTGGTTGTGGTGCTGATCTCCTATTAACACACGCTGTAGTTTTCACTTTTGGATTGTTGTGTTCACATTTGAGAAACGTTCCTCAGCTTGACCTCTAGTGCTCGTTTCATCCAAGCTGTGTCCGAGCTCGAATTTCTGGGCTTCATCAAATCCACCAAGCAGAAGACCGACCACGTGGCTCGACTCACCTGGGGAGGCTGCTGACCAACGCACTCGAAGGAAAAGACCTGCACGTCTGTGGATAGTCTCATTTCATTGTAGCGCTTACCAGGTGTGACTTGAATTTATATTTCTTACTGCATTTCCCTCTAATAAAAGATACGTGGTTAATGTCTGATAATCACTGTGACATGTTTATTTGTATTTATTTGTGCATTTGGCAGAACATTTCAAATCTGACTAATAATGTCAGATGCTGGATCGTCTAAAAATAAAAAAAAATAAATAAAAAAAAAAAGGTTTGTAGTTCTCTCTGATCGTAAATGGAAATCTTAACTTAGTATTTCCACAGTATTTTATTATTTTACTGAAGGTGCAGTTTGGATACATGTGTTATGGTGTACAATTAATGGAAAAACAGACCATTATGATCAGGAAATATTTCATAGAATGCAGTCATCAGGTTTTGGGCAATCATTCACCAAAGGGAAAAGCTTGGTTCTGATTGCACAAAAATAGATTTCTTTATGAATTTGGCTTTACTTGAGCATCTCACAAATGTCATACATGCACCAAAACAAGTCTGAACTCTTAAAAGATTTTTATTGGTTTTTTTTTCAATAAGTACATTGGTTTCAAAGTGATACCAGCAAAACAAAAGTTAAAATAAATAAAACACTGGTAGGGAGAAAAAAAACAAATCAAAAGAAATTAGCCCATTTTATGTTCAATTTAAAAAGCAATGAACAGAGGACAAACTGCAAACATATTCCCTCTGTTCAGCTGTGTTTCTTCCACTTCCTTTCAGATTGACCAGCAAACCTTGTTTAAAACTATGCTGCTTTATCGTATTTACATGTAACAAACAGAAACAAGTGACAAAGCCTGGAATGCTGGGAATCATTACAAAAGTGAGATAACTGTAGATACATGTACAGCAGGAGGAACATAGGCCACTGGTAGAGATAGGGTCCATTAATTTACATCAGGACCGAGTTGCTTACAACAGAGTGGTAACAACTGACAACAGCTTCATATAAACCTTTGCCCAAAGACAGAAATATGGCACAGTAAGAAAAGTTTCATTTAAACTAGCTAAACTGAATCTCTTACAATGATGAGCTTTTTTTTTTTTTCTTTCTTGAGATATCACATGATAGCTTGCAGCAAGAGAAGGCCGTCTTGCAGAGGTTTCTGTGCCACACTCAGGAAACATCTGGAGAAGAGGGAGATGAAATAAAATACAGAAACCAGACTTGTTACTTTAAACTTCAAAGGCGGAGCTCAAACTGAGATCCAAGACTTTCTCGTGTACAGTATGCCAATGAAACAGGAATGTGGAAATAATTTAAGACAAAATGAAAGAACTCACAGCTCGCAGGTTGCTCCCCGAATCGTCGCATCAACTGATCGTGTGTGAACTTCACAAAGGTGTCATATTGTTCTGAAATTTACAGGAAATCAAACATTAGAAATTATTTAGACTTTCCATAACTGAAATATGTTAAGTGTTTTCATTTTCCCAGAAACTCCTCTTTAAACTACAGGCCACATCACCCAATCACACTACTTACGCACAAATTGGGGCTCAGTCAAATCCCCATTAAAAAAAACTGAGGCAAAAAACAAAAAAGGCAAATGTCACCATTAAGTCATATAACCTTTAGAATCACATCACTGCATATTAATGCTGAAATAATTCCTCATTTTAATGAACTGAGAATTGATTAGAACAGTTTTCATAGTTACTCGATACTTTTATCAAGAAAAATAAATATTTCAGTTTGTTGTTACAGCAACATGATTGAGAGAATTTCTATATTTCATAGCTTTTGGTTTTTGACAACTAGTCAGACAATATACAGTAATTAGTTCAGGAATTTGGGCTTTTATAAGTTGGACATTTGTCATTAGTTTTTCTGCTTTTTATACACTATCATGAACATTACATTTATGAAACTACATTGGTGACTACTAAAGACAGTGGGTGTAGGGGACAGAGGAGGTGCTCCTATTCTTAAAAGTATTTATTTACATCCCCTCACTAAGCTATGAAGAAGTCAAACTGACTGTGATTGGTAGCTTGAGTTTCTTTGATGAATTCGATTAATGTTCTGGGTCACAGCACAGTATTCCTACTCAGACTGTACAAACCTGCCAATTTTGAGGTCATGGTCTCCTCATATTCCTCCCGCACCTTCTCTTCCCTTTCTTTCAGCAGGCGTTCACAGATCATTCCAACTTGTCTGAGGGTGAATAATGGCTGTTCTTTTCTAGTAGGAGAAACACCTCCAGAGGACGTTCCTGCAGAAATCAAGCAGAAACCTAAGAACCACTGTGCACGTGGTATTTGTGATTACCTGTATACATTTCACAGTAATTCTTAAACAGTTTCTCCTGTAGACATGCTGTTTATCAGCTAACCTGGCATGCTGGAAACATTCATAGTAGACGACTGGGATGGGGACTCTGGAGAATAGCAGCACTCTGACTGTTGGTAGCCTCCATCTAGATGCTTCCTCTTTTGAATGCGTTTGTACTCCTGCTTGATGCTGTTGAGGATTTGTTCTAGAGGGACAAAAGAAAGCGAAAAAAGACAAGAGTCTATCAGTTAAGACTAAACAGCTGCCACGTTAGAGGGTCCGCTGCTAAACTTTATCATCTAAAAGCATGCTTGTTTTCTGGTTTGTTATAGCTCAACATGTTGCTAATACCTCACAAGCGCCTGGCCGATCACCAAGCAGGCCAACCTGGCCAACATCAGTAAAAAATTACCTGCACTAAGTCTGGACGACGACTCCCCAAATGGCGAGGGCTCCATGCTGAGATACTTCCTAGGGGATGAGGATGAGGACGATGGGGACACGGGGATGCATCTTCGTCTTTTAGGTGAGGTAGGACTCATCAGCGGATCGAAATCCATGGTCCTCTTCAGGGTGGCTCCACACGCCATGACTTTAGTTTGTTAAAAGGGAGGAGGAGTAGAGGGGGTGCAAAAATACCGAAACAAGACAATAATGAAGCGATACATCAGTTATTTCAGATAACTGCTAGCTACTGCTAATCTTTAACATGACTTGCTAGTTAAATTGAATTGTCCGGCTCAGGACAGTTTCTTTCGCTGAGGGATACATGCTAAGCATACTGCGCAGCTGAGGCTTTAAATATTTGCTAGCAAGCTAACGTTAGCCGAGCTTGCTAGCCAATAATCAAAAAGAAAACAAAGCTAACGTTAGCTTGGCTACCAATGGTCGGAGAGTACGTTCTGGTGTATATTTGAGTAAAGCTCCTTCTTACCTTACGGGGGCGAAAAGTTAGTCTGTCCAACTGCGTTCAACAACTCGTCTTGTTCTAAAAGTTGCTTCCCAAAAGTTGCAGTGACGATCAGCCAGCTGCGGGCCAACTGTCTTCTGTTAGATATCGGCGCTAGCTAACGCAACTTAGCTGCTTGTTTTTGATATGAGGCTGTCGGCTTCTCCGATTCGTGACGTCACGTGTGAAATGCAATGTGTAATGCATTATGGGTTATGTAGTGAAACAAGATGCGAGATGAAGGTTTGACGTCGTCGTGGTTACACCTACACTTCCCGAATTTCGCAACTTGGTTACATTACCGTTTCATCAGAGTATTTGATGAACTACAGCTCCATTCATCAATATAATCGTTACACGGGAAATAATAAAGACAATGTCTCATTATCTCCACAGGAGGGCAGTGTTACACAAAAAACACAGTTAACAGTACTTCGTTCTTTAAACCAGTGGCTCTCAAAAAGTCTAATGGTTCACCAAATGATTAAGGGATAAGAATGAAACATATAGCCTATATTTCTGCTACACAACATTATGTTCATTTTGCAATGACTTTTACAAATATTTTCACCGTTTAAGGCCTAAAACATTGTAAAAAAAATGTGGTTGAACTCTACATAACTCATGTCTACATCCTGCTTGTAACTCATGTAAAGAAATAGGTTATACAGCCTACATTTCTGCTTATAAAAATATGTTCATTTTTAATGACTTTTCACAAATTGTTGCTTTTTTCTTGTGGGGAATAAAATTATATTATGACGTTGCTTAGCCTAAAAGGTTAGGAACCACAGGTACTGTAACACACACACAAACACACACACAAATACATATATATATATATATATATATACACAAACAGTCACTCATATTTTCTAACCTTAAAATGAAGAAAATACATATCTTAATAATTAGCTGCAGGTGCTGATGTACTGGTTTGCTAAGGTTTCATTTTTTTTATTGAAAACAAAATACCAAGTATGTTGACAATAATTGTGATAAAAATAGACAAATTTCAAATATTTATTGAATTCATGTCCTTTCTTACACACTTTTACAGAGCACAATGGCACAATGGATGCCTCACAGGAATATGGCAGTGTAGCTTCTCACAAAAACTGTTGAAAACTGTTTAATAAGCACATGTGTAATAAGCAGCTATATAACATTCCCAAATCACTGCAGACATAAGTTCTCATTTGATCAAAAAGCCATTCATATTTCAAAGTATGACTCATCATTTTGCTTTGCAAAGTACAGTAAAAAAATAAATAAGTAAAGTAAAATTCATTAGAGTTGAACAACTGCCAAACTTCACAATATCATGGTCTTAGAAAATCATCAGGAGCTGATTTCAAATCACTAATGAGATGCAAATTTTATTTACAAGCAGTGGTGTGGTGTCATTTTAATCTGACATTTTGCATGAAGGTAGACACAGTTTCACCTTGGATCACTGCCACAATATTGCTATGATAATGTAAAGAAAAAAAAACTGAAGGGACAAAAGAAAGTTCCACATTTTTATACCTTAAAGCTGAAATCTGTAAAAAAAAAATAAAAAATAAAAAAAAAAAGAAGAAGAAAAAAGAAATTCTGCACATTCAAACTAGAGCAAAGATGAGAAAACCTGGTTGCAATGGTTGTTGCAGAAAAAAAATGCCCTTGAGCAACTGAACTGGTTGTTGGGAATATTACTATATTACTTACTGAATGAAATAACATGAAATAGGCATTTTAGATCAGACTTGTGAAACCCAACAAACCCTCTCAATGGCAGAGTAAAGACAGAGGAGCAGATCATGTTAATATTATAGATTTCAGCTTTAAAGCAATAAAAACGTGTCATCAGGTTTGTTTCTAAGTCATGTTTTGGCACATTTCACAGTCACAGAACAGTGCACTAGGGTCAGGGCTATTCTACAATATCTCTACTTCACAGTTGTACCAGAGCAGAGCACCTCGTCTTTTAAACCGCCTCTGCAGTAGAAGTCTCAGTCACTCCAGAAACGGTAACCTGGGCTACTTTTACTCGGGCGTTTCCACAGCCGGCTCCATCTTTCCCTGCCCCGCCTGCTGTGCCTCTCACACTCTTGCTGTTCCAGTCACTCTCAGCACTGGTGTCCAGAGTCTGCGTCGCTCCTTGGCACACACGGCAGATGTTGAGGAAGGCCCTGCGCAGGTCCTTGCTCCTCATGGCGTAGATCACAGGGTTCACGGTGGAGTTGAGCAGACACAGCATGCTGCAAAAGGCAAAGACAGTCTTGATGACATCGTTCACCTTCCCAAAGAGATCATAAACCATGATGGCTAGCAGCGGGCCCCAGCAGATGATGAGGGCCACCAGGATCAGAACGAGGGTTTTAGCCAGGCGGAGGTCCATCCGAGCCTGCTCGGGCCTCACTGTCTGAACTTTAGTCCCCTCTGCGGTGTAGACAATCACGCTCCTCTGGGAGCTGCGGCTCAGCATGCGGACGGCGTGGTGGTGGGATTTCCAGAGGATGAACATGTAGGCGTAGATGATGAACAGGACCAAGATGCTGGTCATCCCGATCCAGAACATCAGGTACTTCTGGTCAATTAGAGGGAAGATGTCTGAGCAAACAGAGTTGAGGCGCTTGCAGTTCCAGCCCAGCAGTGGCAGCAGTGAGATGACGATGGAGATTGTCCACATCATACTGAAGGCAATGACTGCTTTAGTCTTCGTCACGATGCGTTTGTATGCCATGGGCCTGTGGATGGAGATGTAGCGGTCGATCGCCGTGAGAAACAGACTTCCCACAGAGGCAGTGAAGGAGGCAATGACCCCGGCCAGCTTAAAGAGGAAAACATTAGGGGTGTCCTTCCTGTGGAGGACATGGAAGTCCAGGAAGCTGTAGACAAAAATGATGCTCCCTATCAGATCAGCCACAGCCAGACTGCCTATGAAGTGGTAGGATGGCCGAGATCGAAGCGTCTGCGAGTGCAGGATCACGCACAGCACCATTAGGTTCTCCAGCACCGTAAATGTACCCAGGGTGAGTGCCAAGATAGCGACTGCGAGCTGCTGACCAGGAGTCAGAATCATAAAACACTCCATGTTGTCCACAAAGTCTTCTCCACACTGTGCCGCTCCTCCGCTCTCCACAGAGGTGCCATTACCCAGCAGAAAGTCTGATATGTTGGTGGGGAATATGGGAGAGAGGCCACTGTAAATGACCTCCTTGTTTCCAGGGACAAGTCCAGGGAGGGAGTTACTAATGGAGGCAGAGTGAGGTTTCTCAAAGTGGAATTTGTTCTTGATCAGGCTTGGGTCAATGGACGGGTCGTCGTAGCTGGCGTCATTGGAGCCAAGATACTGGACACCTGTTGTTAACGTGCTCATTGTGGTGCCTGCTACCCTGTGCAAAGCCAACTTCATGGCTGGTTTGTGGCTGTAGAGATGCTCAGTGGAGAGGTGTGTGGTGGTGAAACAGCATTAGAGCCATGCAAAAGCACATCTATGAAGAAAAAAAAGAGCACAAATTCTTTACATAAAGAAGTCATTCAAAAATGAATAGATACATCCTGTTAGATTAAAATGTCAAAATATCAGATTACATTGAGTTTCATTCATATGATTAATATAGTGGAAAATGAATTTGTTGCTGGGAGATACTGGGGGGAATCTGTGTATCAGCCAGCTGACTCTGAGAGCAGATGCATCCCAGACAATAGTGGGAAACTGAACAGTTGATGACAAACCTGTGCAGCCTCGGGGGAAATCACTGCATTAAGTATGTAGGACAGCCAGGGCTTTCTTATTAATTAAAGGAGGTCATTAAGCATTAAGCTTTTCTTTTTTTTCAGTAATCATTGGATTAATTAGACATCAAGGGAGAAACGGGATAAAGAGTGTACATATATGTCCAATGATCCATTTCCATTTTGATGTCGGTAATGATGATGTTCATTAAGAAACAGTTAGCTGAACATGGAGGTTTCGGAATAAGATGTTTTGTTTTGTTTTTTTGAAGAGGACAACAATGTTGGCCAATTAACCGCTGCTAATGAAATACCTTCAAGTTTGAAAGAAAAAATATCTTTCATGTCGTCTCTCTGGATCAAAGCTTTAACGCACAAATGGGGCAACAATACTATTGAGAAGAAAAACGAATAAAATAAAAAAAACCCCGCAAAATTAACTTGAGGAAGAAAAAGTGATTAAAAAGAAATAACAATAAAAAAACGTACCTTGATTTTCTCAGCACTTGCATCGATCCATGACGCAAAACAAAAAATTGAACTAAACTGGGAGTAAACCAGTTACATCTGCTGTTGTCGTCAGTCTTCACCGGCGGTTACAGTAACTCCAATCAAACAAGAGGCCGGTGAGAAATTACAGCTGTTGTTCTGATAATTATCCCCGGACACTGTCAGTGTCAGCCACAGTAAAGCCAGACAGGCAGGCACTGAAGTGAGTGAGTGAGTGAGTGAGTGAGTGTGTGTGTGTGTGTGTGTGTGTATGTGTGAGTGTGAGTGTGTTTGAGGGAGCGGGCGTTTATAAGGCTCCGCTTTGTGCGCCTGCTGGTCACGTGGTCTGAGGTGTGTGAGCGCAGGAGGAAGCGCATCCCTGAGCATCATCCACACCTAGAGCGTTTGTACAGGAACGAAACAACAGCCGGACAACAACAACAACAACAACAACAACAACAACAACAACAACAACAACAACAACAACAGGATCTGTGTTTCAAATAAATGGCTTCTATGTCTTATGTCTTTGAAACCGCTTACTAAGTCTGTAGCAAATGTTATATGGGCTCAGTCTCGTTTTGTTGTTGATTAGACCACAAAGAAGTTTTAATTCATTTCTTAATTTATTCACACAGCATTTCTGTAGATGTGCCAGTGTTAGCCAGGTTAGGATAATTTGGATAATTTTCAGCTCCAGTCCTTTGGTGAGACGTTCAGAAACATAGATTATAAGGTTTAACTCCCTGTTACATCTCTCATTAACAAACTATTATAAAACTCCAAAACTGAAATCCAAATAGAAATAGAATAAATATTGTCAATACCACTAACAGACGTAGAGCATTTGAATATCAATTCAATACATGAATTTCCCCTAGGTCTTAGTCTTAGGGGATAAATAAAGTATCCATCTATCTATCTATCTATCTATCTATCTATCTATCTATCTATCTATCTCATTGTATTTAAACAGTTTTACAGCTGGGGTCTCTGGGATCCCAAACAGAGGTAATGGGTTATTTTCTGTAGTTCAGCACTCCTGTTCATAAGCAGTTCTTTCAACATTTGAAAAAGTAATTAACTATCACTGTAATAAAACAATATTAAATCTGTTTCTGAGCAGATAATGAAAAATGTCCGAGATAATCCTTCAGTAAACTCAGATTATTTGTATTAAATATCACAGCAAAAGAATAATCCCCTTTTGGACCGTGGTTTTAAAGTAACTAAGTACATTTACGTAAGGAACAAGTACAATTTTCCAATTTTTTGCTACTTCCTACGCAACTACATTCCAGAGAGAGATATTGTACTTTTCATGCATATTTGTGTGACAGCTATAGTTACTTCACAAATACCAATATTATGATGAGTGTATAAATGATGGTGCTCTGTTGTACGTTTAACTTAACATCAGCATATAAAGTGGTTTAAATTAGCTCCAACTTGACATACAACATTCACATGCTGCTTGCATGTTAATGCATAGATAATAAAACCAGTAATATAATATATATTGATGTTGCTCTGAAAGGCCATTCTGCATAATGAGTACTTTTATTTTTGATACTTAAACAACATTCTGTTTTACGGATGACAAATATTACATTTTCATACCTCTATATATACTTTGACTGAAGTAAGATTTTGCCAGCAAGATGGTGTTTTTACATAGTGTTGCTATTTTTAATGAAGTCAAATATTTGACCTCTTCCACTGCTGCTTTTTGAAAATGAATCTTATAGTTATTTGAGTTAATATTAGCTTTTTCTCATGTTGATAATGGAAAGAAAAAAATCATTACAGTGTCGTTTTAGTGCAATTTTAACGTCACTGTGTAACTAAAAGTCCATTCTGAATCTCCTCCATATTTATCTATTTATTTAGTGCAGTTGAGGGCACATGCACACTCTATTAAGAGTCCTTTTCCTGTCCTGCGCAGCTGCGCAATTATTTCCACTATGCACTCCCAGCGGAGCTATCTCCCAAATTACATGTATCTTGTTGTGGAAAATACATGACATTTGGCGATGCAACATCATGGGAAAACAATGAAAAGCACTGCTCATGATGCCAGTGCCTCCAGTTTTGGCAGAACAGAAGAGGCTGAGGAGTCATCCAACTAATTACTGAACACTTGTTATGCTGCGCTTGAAGCAGATTCAAGCAGCCATTGATCATTTGTGGTAGAACAGTATATCCAATATGTCCTTTTCATGAAAATAGTTTACACAGACAGACAGTGTAAGTTAAGCGTCTTATTGATGACGAGTGATTGTGGAGTTCATCTGTAATTCATTCAGATATATAGTATGTTCAGTGACTTCTGTTTCATGGCTCTTTGGTGTTTTCCTTTTGATCAGGATAAAGTCTTAATATGGTTTTGGCTTGAAAACTGCGTCTATCATCTCTAAAAGCAGGGGGCAGAGTATTGAAATCCACATCCATCATAATAATTATCATCCTTATTTCATTGTCATACAGTGAGCTCCAGTGAGAGAGGGGGAGATTTCCAAGACAAAGCTGTCTGTGATGACAAAAGGCCTCTGTGTGACCGTAACAGCGACTTGTAGAAGTTCAATTTTTCTAAATCCTCTTCCTCCATGTGGGCAGGGCAGTAATAGGCGGCTGCTGCTGTTGTTTCACGTCCATCAGTCATTGATGGTGAATATTGCAAGTGATGTACAGTGATTGATTTTAGTAGGATTCATGAAAAGCACCACGGTGCATCCGTACAGTGCATTTCATATTGATCCTTCTCCATTTACAGACAGTTAGTACTTGAGTGGCTGCCTACATTATGAAATCATTACTTGCGGGCCACACAGGCTGTAGTCCTCCAAACTCGACACTTTCGAATAATACACATGCAAAAACATGAATTAAAGAACATTTTCATCAGATTTGTTTAAACTAGTGCACGTCCGAAAATTAATTGTGTGGAATCAGACAGTTCGAAATATAGTGGTTACACACACAGCATGTTACCAGACGAGACTCTGAAGCAGGCTGTCTGTCTCTGATGTGTTTGTGTCGAGGAGTTGAAGAGTGTGGGGAGGGAGAGAAGTAGAGAGGGAGGGAGGGCAGGCGGGTGAGGAGGAAAAGATGCATAAATAGAGAAGGGGAGGAGGTTGTGGCTGAACACTGACAGCTCTTAACTGTTTCCTAATCTGCCACTTCTATATTCTGTTCCTCCCCAGCTGGAGACACTTCATATTGTGGCGCCACAGGATGAATCTGAGTTTATGTCAAGTCGATTCAACGGGGAGAAAAAGTCCAAATATAATTTATACTAAATTCATTCACTTTTGCTTTACACGTTTCTTCATCCCATGCTCGGAAGGAGTCATGTGCATCATCACATATCATCAGTCAACAGCCGTCTGCATCCTCATTATTCAGTTCATCAGTTAATTATGTGTATCTACCTGGCTTCATTAGGCAACTCAAAAGTGTTTGTTGATCTGTTTTTTCAAAGACTTTAAATTAAAGGCTTAGCTCTGCACCCAGGATATGACATCAGAGAAATAAACAGGGAGAAGTAATGTGCGAAAGTTCCCTGTCATGTTTCTCTCCTGTGGCACGGATCTATCTCACAGGGAACAACGGCACAAAAGAAAATATGACAAAGTTGTGACTTATTGTCGTCTGTGACCGAATTTCTGCATAGATGGAAAAAAAACTACAAACTCTCTCTATGAATACACTAAAAATACCAGTATAAAAAGACAGACGATGCATGTTCTGACTGAAGACTAAATAAATAATCAGTCTAATTCAATGCATTCCTTTTATTTGAGTTGCTGAGCATGAATTTCAGTTGCAGAAATGATGGATTTTCTTGGTGCAGATCAGACAGACTAACAACATAATGGTCAGTGGATAGAATCCCCTTCATGCACCATTTAGTCATATAAAGACCCTTTTTTTTTATCTCAGCAGAACACAGTAGTAATCACAAGGACTTAGCAGGTGGTTCAGTGAATGCTCACTTGCGGAAATACTATGCAAATGGATGCTACAGGCACAGATGAATTACTCAGGCAGCAGTGCGATGCTTCCAAACCGCAGCTCAGCGAACCCGTTTCTCTCCTGGTTTTCATGAAGCAGAGCGATACGCCGGTACGTAGTAGCCCCGCAGCCTCAGAAGAGGTGGGTCACCTTCATGACTAAAGATGCACTCAT